TTTTCATACATTATATGTTTCATCTCTAGATGAAAGTGTGTCTTTTCTTTCCTTTGACTTCTCTGCTTGTATTCTGCTTGTATTCTTAAGTACATGGAGTACATTTATAATAGCTGTTTTAATATTCTTGTCTCTTAATTCTATCATCTGTGCATTTTTGGTTTTGTTTCTATTGATTTTTCTTCTACTTGTGGGAGGTATTTTCCTGCTTATTTGCATGCCTGGTGATTTTGACTGGAGGCTATACACTCAATTTTTTTTTTTGTTAATGTTATTTTTTGGGGTGCTGGACTTTATTGTTCCTTTAAGTCTTGTTGGTCTTTGTTCTGTGATGCAGTTAAGTTACTTGGAATCAGCTGATCTTTCTGAGTTTTGTTTTTAAGCACATTTATGGAAAAAAAAAAAAAAAAAAAAAGCCTTTTCCCAAAATGACTCTGACCTAGGAGGTCTCTATCCAATGCTCTGCGACCGGCTGAAGAGAACACAAACCATTCATGTACTCAACAATCCAAGAATTGTTCTGCCTGCCACTTTCTGGTGATCTCCACCTGGCCTCAGTAGTTTCTTCAAATGCATGCTCAAATCAGTAAGCAGCCAAGACTAGGAGGTTTCTTCTGCAGACCTCTGGAGTTCTTCCTCTGTGTATCTTACTACTCTCCAGTATTTTGCTCAGCAAATTCCAGACATCTTGGCTTCCCCAAGTTTCAATTTCTGTTTCTTCAATTTAGTAAGAATGCTATGATTTATTGGGCTTCCCTTCTCTGCACTGTGGTTTGGCAACCATGAGCTAGGGCATTTTCAGAGCCTACTTTGTTTATTTTCTCCTCTCAGTGATCACTGCCTGTCCTATGCAGTCTGTTGTCCAATGTCTGAAAATCAACATTTCTTACGTATATATTTTTTCTGGTTCTATTGTTGTTTAAAGCAAGTCAGCTGGTCTCCATCACTATCATGGCCTGAGCTTCAAGTTCCCACAGCATTTTGCTGTCAATTCTCATATAGTACTTTTATTATTATTTTTGAATCCCTGATTACTCTCATTAGATTGTAAACTCTTTGAGACTAGGAACTAGATTTTGTTTATGAATGGTATCTTTTGTATCATAGACACTAGAGAAGTCAAATAAAGAAATGTGCAGACCAACGTTAGAAAAAGAAATGAGATACGAAGGTGCCACTAGGGCTGAGTCTAAGAACACTGCCTCACTAAGAACCGTGTTTATCACGCCATGACCTCCTACTGTTCAGATTCTCTGGCAGGACCACAACTGCCATAAACCTCATTAATGAGAGCCCAATGCCACTCTGACAACTCAGGTTCTTCAACACTGGCCAATTCCCATCAGGCCTGCACACTAAAGAGTTAAGAACTGGCTTTAATCAGGCAGCGTTAATCCTCTAACTTTAGCTTCATTATTTACAATGAATACTTTGGTTCTAAAACTCTTTATCTGGCCAGGTGCGATGGTCATGCCTATAATCCCAGCACTTTGGGAGGCCAAGGCAGGAGAATCACTTGAGACTAGGAGTTCCAGACCAGCCTACAAACATTTTTTTTTTTTTTTTTAATTTTAAAAATTAGCCTGACATGGCTGGCGCATGCCTGTAGTCCCAGCTACTCAGGAGACTGAGGTGGTAGGACTGCTTGAGCCCAAGAGGTCAAGGCTGCAGTGAGCTATGACCACACTATTGCAGTCCAGCCTGGGAAACAGAGCGAGACCCTGTCTCAAAACAAACCATACAAAAAAATCCTCTTTTATCTAAGAAGAGAAAACAGCATTCCCAAAAGAGGACTGACTTTAGAGTTAGAAGGAATCTGAATCCCAGATGTGCTACTTACTTGCTATGCAACCTTGGACGTGTTGCTTGACCAATCTGGGCTTTTGTTTCTTTATAAAAATGGGGATAATATTATAATACCTTCTGTATATAAAGAGAACCCAGCACTTGATTAATACTTAATAAATGGTAGCAAGTGTTGTAAGGTTAATTAGAATCCTCCACGCAAGCACAGAATTCAGGTAAAATGTCTGATTACTAATCTGGGAAAAACATTAGTGGCCACCTGCTAATATTACTCCCAGAGGAGAACATTTACTTCAAGGCCAACCAGCATGCAAATATGTACTGGGAAGGACACTTATGTCTAATAATTATAAACCAAAGGCTGAGGAATGCCAAACAATTTATTTTCTGGCTTACTGGCTATCTCTTCTAGAGATACATTGTCACAGTCTCCACAAATGCTTCTGACACAGAGACCCACAATCAAGTAGAGGTGCTAAAAAATAATGATGGGTAGAGGGTCACCTGAGTTAGCAGAAAGGCAAGACTGAACGTATGTTTGGTAAGGAAAAGTGAGGACGAAGGAACACAAAATGCAAACAGAAAATGAGTACTCTCCAAACTAACACAAGATGCTACAGAATTTTTCAAACTGCTAGGTCATTTTCTTTATATGTACTTATTAGAACTTTTACAAATGTAGCCTAAACCTTTGAAAAACTTGAGATTAAAAAAAAGTCATCAAAATATTTTAAAGAGTAAATACAAAATGTTTAAAGAGAGTTTAAAGAACAAATACTATTTATCTGGAAGAAGAGAAAATTCAGGCATAGCTGGAAGTCTTTGCAAGCATAGAAAGGATTACACAAAAAAGGTGACCATATATTCTCTCTCTAGTGATGAATTAAATGAAAGACAATGGGCTCAATGGTAGTGGAAGACGATAATTTTAATAGTAATGGTTATTAAATATAGAAATTATTTATTAAAATTAAGTAGTAGAAATATTAAAAATAGAAATAATTTCCCTGGAAATCTTTTTTTTTTTTTTTTTAATTGAGACAGAATTTTCCTCTTGTCACTCAGGCTGGAAAGCAATGGCACCATCTGGGCTCACTGCAACCTCCACCTCCTGGGTTGAAGCCATTCTCCTGCCTCAGCCTCCCTAGTAGCTAGGATTACAGGCACCCGCCACCACGCCCGACTAATTTTTGTATTTTTAGTAGAGATGGGGTTTCACCATGTTGGCCAGGCTGGTCTCGAACTCCTGACCTTAGGTGATCTGCCCTCCTCAGCCTCCAAAGTGCTGAGATTACAGGCGTGAGCCACCATGCCCAGCTAAGAAATCGTTACAAACAGACAATACATCTACGTTTTCTAAGTATAACAGAGGTAACATACTCCTGAGGCACATTCGTGGAATGTCAAAGATACTCTGCTATGCTGTTTCTTATTCAGTGTCCACCAAGGGACACAATCAACAAAGGGTCCAAGCTGCTCTCTTAAAACGGATTATAATCAAATAGAGTGGTACTTGCTGATCTGGAGAGGAGACCATATATCTGCCTTTACCATAGATTTTTGTCTTGTTATTTATAAGAAGAGATCATTTCAAGAAAGGGCCACATGTAGAGTCCCAGGGGATGGGTTACCTGGAGTGTGCAAATAAGTGGGAGGGAAGGAAACACATTAATTGGCCTGGCTTATGAAGGTGTGACAGGTTACAGGTGTGTTTACAGGACTAGTGAAAAGTTTTTCTCTATGTGGCAATAAACAGAATGCTGGACTATTACAGGTAAAAAAAAAAAAAAGAAAAAAAAAAAAAACGAATTCTCAAGGTGCCTCTGCAAAACAAAATCTGCTGGATATAAAACTACAACAATTTGAAGTCCATCACTGTCTTACCAGAAGACAAACAAAACTGAGCACCTAGTTCTACAAGTCTATGGCAGGGCAACAGCTGGGGAGTTCCTCCTCTACTTCGCATTAGCAGGGGCACCCATTTGCTTAGAGAATAAAAAATGGGCAAATTTACTCAGTTCTCTAGTTTCCATGATTCTATGAAAATCACTTTAAAGCTGTTCTAAGTATTGGGTAAACTCTAAGTAGTGAGCAATTTACACTAGAGACTCAAGGTATAGAACCTCATGCGGCAATCAACAGCAAAGTAGACATACTGGAGGGTTATAAAACAGGGAGAACATACGGCCTTGGGGTCTTTAATGCGACATGCACAAATGAATCACAAGGAGAAGCAATTTACCAAAGGAGTATTTAATACCTGATATACTCTGAAATAAAATGAATTCTTCATGCATTTCCAGTAGTTATCAAAACTTTATGCCAAATCGTCTCATAAGGATTGCCACCTGGAATGCAAGCTTCATAACAGAACCCTATCAAAATCCAAAAGCCCCTAAGACAGGGCTCTTGTTATATCACATGCTCCAGCTTCAGAGAGTTGTTGTGACTCACTCCTCCTTCTAGAAAATCACAACCAAAAACACAGTTCCCAAAGCAATCGCTGACATACCTCAGGTGTGCTAGTGAAAAAAGAGATTGAAAACCAGCAATAGCTACAGAATGTCTACACAGGGGCAGCAATCAGGTTATATTAGAATGCTAAAGGGATCCTTCTTGAAGCTGTGTTTGCATAGCAAAGCTACACATACATAAAAATGCCAGTTTCCTAACTAGGTGTTTTCACATTTATATAAGACTAAGAGACTATCCATTGTCACCAAGAGTGAATACCATTGTTCTTGTTGTTGTTGGAGTTCCTTGAGAGTCATGCTGGAGATGTTGAGGGGCACCAAAGCCACCTTTGAGAACCAGGGGCTCTGCTCTCCAATCTTGTGGTTGGCTGTAATGACGAGTGCAATTTACGACCTTGGATGAAGTTTCTTTCTGTGAAGAACTAATCTGTCCTCCTCACCATCAAATAAACAACTCTAACATCACCAATACTACATCTCAGTTACCCCAGATGGTAGCTTAATAGCCTGAAAGAATTAATAGTGCACCTCTAAGCACATTATTCACCCAGAGAATAGCTGAAGCAATGGAAGGAATCTGGCCCATTATATCCCACACAATTGCTAAACAATAAGCAATCACAGAAATGAAGCATGCCATATGGTCATCTCTCCACTATATTATGATTCATTGTAATAAAAGTACTGTTCAAAACCCTTATAGAAATTTGAAAGGCATACCTTTTTTTTCTGGAAGAAACATTACAATAAGACAAGCCAGTCCTCCTAGGCACAGAAATGCTGATAATGTTCGCTTCCGACCAAACCTAAACAATAGAAAGAAATTACACAGTTCTCTTAAGAAGAACCTTATAAATTCATCTGTTTCTTCCCAACCTTCTTATTTAAAAATCTTCAGTTTCATTATATATGTTCATCTCCTCTTAAGGCATAAGTGGCAAATGTGACTGATAGGAAACTGACTAGGACTCAAAATAAATAACCACTATAAAACAAAGAGAAAGTTGCCGGATGGCAGGATTAAGTGATTTGTGTGGGAAAAGAGCATAGTGTCATTCCATCTATTTCCATGAGTGCTAAGTTTCAGACACTGTTTTAAATGTTTACCATCTATTACCTTATTTAATCCTAATAAAAATCCTGTAGGCATGTACTATTATATTCTCCATCTTTTAGAGAATGAAACTGAAACAAGGTTACAACTTCCTTTATTTTCTGTTTTTATGCAGTTTAAAGTTTTGGCATTTTTTTAAAGTCAATCTCTCTTAAAAATACACACAGAAAAAATATTTGTTACTGGGTTAGAAATAAGTGTAATGTTATTTCATACTTATTGAGAGAAGCGATTTTGAAATAAAAGCCCTAGTCTTGGAAGAAATATATTAACATTAATAAGTCTCCCTTTTCTAGGGGCTTACAACATGCCAGGCACTTTTACTAGGAACCTCAATAATTTTGATAATTTTGTCAGTGAATTTTACAATCCCTGGTTTGAGAATAAGTACGAAGGGAGGCTTAGTGAAGAAACTTGTCTAAGTCATACAATGAACACGTGGCAAAGACTAGATCTGAATTCAGGTCTGCCAGATCACAAAGGTAGCCTTCCTTCCCTCTGCTTCAGATTTCAATCCTAACTCTGGGTGGTGCTAAGAAGGTCTGGAGTCTTCTTTTCCAGGTCATTTTGCTTAATTTAACAGTCAATATGGAAGGCCTTTCAAGTAACACACACCATGCTAGGCAAGTACCAGGGATGCAAAGACACATAAAATACCCCCATGGACGGCTTCCTTGTAACACTTTTAAATGGCCCCAGAGGTACGCACAGGGTGCTAGAGCCGCACAAAGGAGAGGCATCTGGCACAACTGGGGGTACTGGGAAAGACTTCTGAATATAATACATGATCCACCTCTTGTATCATGATGAGAGTAAGCTGTAGCCTCTACCTCAGGGATCAGCAGAGGCAACTGGGAACACTGCCTGGGAGACAAGCCTTCAATTTAACAGAATCCAAACCTGCCCTTCAAAACACTCTCAGCTAAAACATCATGACAATAGCATTAAGCACAATGCCAAAGGAATTCTGAGTTTGGTTGGAATGATGATTTCTGGAGAAAAAGAAATGGCATAATTCAACGGATTCCCAGCTCATGCAGAATGGGATTTTTAGGTGGCCTGGTCAGGGGCTAAGTAACAGAAGCAATCTCAGAAATTGAGGAAAGGGGGCTCTATAAAATAATGTTTAAAATCTATCTCAAAACTGTGCCCACTGACAATGAGTAAAACAGTGTATCTTCTGCCTCCTCAACAAAGTAAGGTGGGCCACAGAAGATAAGAAAAGTCTTTCTAGTTCCCTCAATTATTTGTCTTCTTGTAAGAACTTCTAAATATTTACTGTTAATTGGGTTTATAGAGTTTCATCTACATAGAGCTAATAATCTCATCTCTGGCGACTAACAAATTACATACAGACTACTCACAAACCCTCTGATGGTAATATTCAATACTATCTTGGATTTTGATATTCAATATTGAATTGAAACCTATATAAAAACTCGTAAACATGAAACTCAAGAAATCCTGCACTAAGAAATGAATTCTAACTGTTTTTAGATGGAAAGAAACTAATCACCACAGAGCAATCAGCTGACACTGCATACAAAGACAACACCATGTAGATATGCACGTATATCAGAGGGCATATGTGTATGTGTGCATTCTCTGTGGTGCACTTCATATTCATCCACACTTACTCACCATTTTTGGTTAATCAAGTAGATACAGAGAGGGTACGATGGAATCTCTATGAGGCCAGACAGGGCCAGGTTGGCATAAATACTTCCACCTAGATCACCCGCACTCAGAGTTAGGCCATAATACACCAAGCTGCACACAAACCTGCAATTGGGAGTCAAAGGACCAGGAGGTAAAAGACAAGAAGGACAATAGAAAAGTACATAAGAATTTGCCAGAGAAGATTCAAATAGTGGTTCAATATGGTGGCTTGATCTGCTGCAAGCAATAAGTTTGTCTCTCCTACTAATTTTTCTATTTTAATCTAAATTTCAACACTAGTTAAAAACAAAAAATTATGGGGGCTTGGAAATAATTTGAGCTATGTCTACATGTTATATAAATCAAATGGATGCCCAGCCCCTTAAAGAGGAAAGACATTGCATGAGCTTTCAGCAAGCATTTTTGCAATTAATAGAACACAATGACCCTATTCTTTATTTAAGGCAACGATTTATGGAACACTTGTTATAGACTGTTGTAATATTATTGAAATGATTCCAGAAAAGAACTCCCATTGAGAAAGCCAACAGAAGATGGTCTTAAGAACACGAGCTGAGAAGTGACTGGATCTTCAGTGGGTCACCTGAAGGCCCGAAATGACTGGCACTCCAATCCCCAATAATCCAGACACTTGCCATTGCAGGTTTTAACCCCATCCTGCACTCAGTAGGTGCATATGACACAGACTCCCAGAACAGGAAAGAAAAATTAAAGGTCACAGCAAAGGCAGGATCTTCTAGGAGGAACAACTGAGGAAAGGTTACTTAAAAAGCCATTAATTTATTTATGTACACCATTCCTGAAACAAACAGGGAGCTCCTCTTGGGTGGCAGGCATTGTGCTAGGCACCAAACCTCTCTCCTACAATCCAGGAACTAAAGAGCTGAGGAAGCCAAGTGCCAACCTAAAGATCCAAATCAGGGCTTCCTCAAACACAGTAATGGTGGTAGTAGGTACTTCTATGCCTAGGAAACTGCATTATTAAAATAAAACAAAACAAAATAGAATAGAATGAACAAAAATAAAACCCTGAAACTGGGCTTTACAAGAATATGAATATGTTTGGTAAACCACAAATTTCTATACAAGCAGTAAAATACCAAAGCTCTGTTAAGTTCATCAGTTTTTATGCTTTTGCAATGCAATTTGATCAGTGTTTATTAAGGGGACATTCTCATTTGCTTCCCTTTAGCTTTCCTTAGAGAAAGTCTAATGAGCTGTGGCTATAATGAGATCAATCAGGAAAGTGAGTTTTATTTCCATCTCTGCTTAATCTCAGAAGTGGGCCAAGTACTCCAGACTGTGGTCATGTAAGGAGAGAGAGATGTAAGGAAGAGGGACCCTCAAGCTGGAGTGGTTAGTAGTCCAGCTCTCTCTAGCAAATGAGCCAGAAGTATTATGCATGACTTCTTACTGAGATGAAGTGTTATTCATATACCAAGGGCAACGGGCAGGATTGTAGCCAGGACATCACATGTAAGGATGCAAGGTGACACTGCATTGTCTATTCTCACTGTCTCCCAGGTACCTTGCATGAAAGCAGAGGGCAAAATAAATTTAAATCCATGTAGTTTTCTAAAATGTTTTTAAAATCCTTTATACCTGCAGAAGAGACTTTCCTCTTACATAATGCTGTTTCCCAGTTAGTTTTCTGTGTGTCTGTTCTGCATTTACAATAGAAATTCCAGACACACACACACACACACACACACACACACACACCCCTATTTAAATCAAGCTGTGACAGTATCAAGTCAAGGCAAGAATAGACAAGCCAGTTCAGGACAATAGTGGAATTTAGTTCCCAGCTGGTGGTGAGAGAGAATGGGGAGAGCATGAAGCATGGAAGGCCCCTTGTCCCCAGGGCTGGGACTCTGCTCTGCAAGTTGCCTTCATCACAGAGTTGGTCATTGGGATCCATAATTACAACTATTAAAATCATTTCAATCCTCTTTATGTCCCCCAAACAAAATTTAAAATGCTTGTGTAATATTTAACAGTATATTTAGAGCATCAAAGAACTACTTAAAAAGGCACTATTGTGGAAAATAACCAAAGGAACAGATGTTTAACACAGAGGTATAATTTGAATCCCCACTTAAGGCTTTCTTGAATGACAGATCCACAGAGAAGATTTTAGAATTTTATAGCATCTTCAAAAAGAACAGCAATATGTGGAGTGACTGTCTCTATTATCACATGTTTTAACATTCTCAGCCTCAGGGAAGAAATTTATTTGGCTGTGTAAGAAATAAAATTAACAGGGACAGTCTCCCCAGCCCTAAGTCTAGAGTTTGTTTGTTTATCCATTGAAGGCCAGAACCCAGAAGTTAATATACACGGGGAAAAAAATAAAAATAGTGAATAATCTGCAACAAGTAGGTGGTTCCTCCAAGGCAGAGATTGACTAACCGTCTATGTGATATGCAAACGTAAAGTTTTATGGAGCCCTAAGTACCTGAACATACTTTGTATTTGTTTTTGAGTAGTAGAACCTCAAATCAGCAGCTCCTATGCTGTGTTGTCAGGTTTGGCTTTCAACGGTTTTCTTAATCTCCATACCTCCAAGCCTCAACATTTATTATGCATCTGTGATATTCCTAGCACTGTGATGGTTCTGTGGGGGAAAGTAGCAGCTGGTTAACATGGCCCCCAACCATACAGGTGGCAGCCACTGCTTGGGTAGAAAAAGAGAATATGATATAGAAAAACATCTTTGCTTCTTATTCTAAAGCTACTATTCTTTGTAGCTTTATACATAAGATCACTTTCATATAAAATCACTTTCCTTTATCCCTGCATGAAATGTGGGTTCCATGCAGGCTTCGTGGCAAACACATATAAGCCACAGCACAACTGTCCTTTAGGCTATGATTTATGTCCTTTAGGTATGATTTTGCCCAGATAACACTTATGGCACGTTAGCAGTATGTACAATATCAAAACACATGTGCAATCCACAAATTGTATGCACCCATCCATTTCTCCTCTTTCTACAACTTCATTCTTTAAATGAAACCATCTTGAACCACTGAATGCAACTTACACTCATGCTGAGAGCATTTTGAGAGGCAGATGGGAATAAGCTAAACAACCAGAAAAATCAGGTTCAGAAAGTGCTCATCAGTTCAATCACTGATTTACATATGTGGCTTAGGGTTCCTCACTTCAAACTCCTGGGGTCCCATCTGTACAAGGGATCATATTTAGCCCACCTCAGTGAGTTAGTGAGTGGGAGTGCCACAGAACATGCAGCATGGAGCACCACAATCAGAATGTGCTAGCAAACTGCGTGATGCCAATGCCAAAGGTAAGTATTTTTAAAGTCCTATTTAAAAACTCTTCTATTTCTAGCATGCTTATTTGCCTTCTTTCCTTTTTTGCAGCAGAAGGGGCAGGAAGGCTTAAATATTTATGATAAATACCTCAAGAGCAAAGACGTGCTTCTGATGTCTACTTACTCAAGCTCAGTGGACCTGCCCATCAGGCACCATCATCTGCTGCTTGAGAAAGACAGGGCTGCGCAAGAAGAAAACCAGGCACTAAGAATCAGGGGCCTTGCTTTTAAGAAAACAACTTCAAGCTAACAAAAGAGGTAAAATTCTCTGTACCCTGAAGAAGGAGCAGGATATCAAGAGAACCTTGAGCAACCTTAGTTAAAGAGCAACAGAACACGCCTTAGTATAATTACCAGATGAACATCAGGATCAAAGTGTGTCCTAAGAGGACTCGGTAACGAAACAGATCCAGGAAACTTCCAGTCTCCCTGCAGCTCCTGTTGGCGGGGTGGGTTAGTGAGAATGTGCACTTGAGCTTGCGGTTCCTCTTGGCAATGAGGTACAGCGCCTCTTCAGCCTCACTCAGTCGACCCTGGGAGTATAACCAACGAGGTGATTCAGGAATGAATCTGAAAGAGATGTCATTAAAGGCTGTATATTCATATAGGCACACGTGCACAGGAAGGAGACAAATCACCTACTCAGTACGTGGATTCCTGCACCACAAATGGATTCCATGTTAGACTTAAAGTTTGACTCTCCCAATGACATATGAAAGGGCTACTTTCAACAGCATGGTAATGTTAAATGGTAGTCTACCGCTGAAAACCAAGAACATGCTTTTACAATTGCAGTTTAAAAAGAAAACAGTATGCATTTATTTTTAAATAAATTTTAATATGTGATTTTTAATATGTTAAATATTAACATTATTCAGTCTATAGGACTGAATAATGAAAATTCTTCATAAAGCACAGGTCAAAGATATGGCTCTAAATCCTAGTGAAGTGTTGTTTGAATAATACTGTAGAGACAAAGGGTTTTTTAAGTTCTAAAAAAGCCTCACAAAGAAGATGGAAATCTTTAATATCTCGTCAGAAAAAAAAATTTAAACTGAAATGTTTTTAACATAGTGACATGTAGGAGGTAGAGATTATCTTAAGACTACACAAAAAGATGAAACCAAGTTTAGCAAAGCTACTTTTGAGTGTTTACTGCTTCAAAATACTCAAATCACCTGACACACTGGCTTTAAAATGTCCTGAGGATATTTCCTGATCCCCTAAGACCTTAAAGAATAAAAGTTATTTCCTGATCAACTTCTAGTTACAACACAACAGTTATTTTCTAATATAACTACAAAGTGTTGGACAATTATATTGCCATTGATATATTCAAAGAGTTTCAAAACTTAAATATTATGTATCTTTTTCCTCTTCCCCATTTTGCCTACACTTTTAGAGGTCTTTCCAAAGACAAAACCAAGGCAGGAATATGGAAGCCTTGTTTACAAGACACATATCAAGGTTTTTTAAAATCTAATTTGACATTATCTGCCTAAAATGAAACTTCGATGAATAAAACTGGCTATTTAAGGTGCTTTATAGAATTCACTGCGCCTTCTAATAAAGATAGTGAATTAGCAACAAACTCTACAGGATTTGGAAACTTAATGCATTGATAGTCAGTCTGTCAACAACCATTTATTGAGCATTTCAATTTTGTACAGAGCAATGTAATGGTGCTGAAAGGAAAGACGCTGGAAACCAAAAGGCAGGAGTTTTACCAGGAGCTTTGCTACTGGGGAAAGGAATATTCATGCACGATAAAAAAAGCAGGAACAAAGGCCATCTACAACATCCTGAAAAATCCTTCCATTTACTTCTTCATTGCCATTTGATTGTTATTACTGACAAACAAATAAATAATCAACTAACATTGTTCTGTTGAAGTTAGGTGTGCAGGTTATGAGTGAGATTTATTGGCCCTATCTATAGGGCCATATAGGAGCTATTATGTAAAACCACTTGATTATGCCTAAATGAAAGATGACTACTATGATAAATATTGAGAGAAAATATATGATAATAAAAGTTAATTATTTTGGGGAGGATTGTGAGGAATAAAAAAGAACAGAAAATATGCCAAAGTATTCACAGTCATTATCTTTGGGTTATATAAGTCATTTTCCCCTACCCTTAGCCTCTCTGTGTTTTCAAAATTGTTTATAAGCAATAAAAATTACTTTTAAAACTTTATAAATCATTTTAAAGATGGTATTTGAGAGACACGAAGGCTTTAGAAATTTGGCTCTGAGTTAATAAAACTATTTCTACCTGGCAAAGCATTTATCTTGATCATGAAAATCTTAGGACCTTATATTTCTCTGCATTTTGAGAGGCCAATAAGCTTGCTTATAAAGAGGGTCACCTAGTTGCCAGTGTACAGATTTGGAAACAGAGTTCCAACACATGGAGACTATACATGCAAAACAGTAAGACACATTTTTAAAAGAGCGAGCAGGCCTTTGAACATGCCGTCCTCTACAGAGCAGCAGGGTCATCTGTGCCGTGGGCTCCTCTGAAAGCTAAAATGCTAATTTAACGATGTTGCCTCACTCAGAAATGCTCCTTGAATATTAAAGGTGGCAAACCTTTGTAAGTTAAAGGGACCCTGGTTTTCAGGAAAAAGAAGTAAATCTACTGAAATTGAAGTATTGTGAAAATAAGGAATTTTTCAGCTAGGTAAAAATGTTTCTGATAAACCAATAAGGTATATAATGTGGCTTCTTATGTTGCTGATGAAAAATTCTGAAGGTGATTCCAAATGTTTTTGTACCACATTTGAGCAATGTCCAAGGATCTACTGTGTGGAAACCCCTGGCTTTGGTACTGGGGAAAACGTAATCATGGAGTAAAGAGCCTGCTACTGTTGGAGAGCTCTCAGTTTAGAGAGAATGTCACTCCAGTATGAGGCAGAAACACAAGGACCACTCAGAGGGTATGGGTGAATGCCGTGGAATTCAGAAAAGAAAGAGAATGACTTGTAGCTGAGGCTATGATCAGGAAAAGATGGAGTGGACGGCATTTGAGCAAATCAGGACAGTGGCGTACTTATCAAATAAGAGGATCTGGGCAGATTGTTGAAAAAGCAGGCACAGCACTGAGTAGCAGCATGGAGCAGAAAAGCATCAGGAACAAGTAGTGCAGTGTGCCTGAACATGGGATGGGAATAAATTAGGAAAGATAAATTGGAGGCTGGTTGTGGGAAGCCTTATGTTCCAGGCTCAGTGGAGTAAGCAAATATTTTAGTCTCATGAGTTCTTTTCTCTCTGCTTTCTATTTTTCATGACCAGAACTCACTTCCCAGTGAGGAGATGTCTCCACCTAGCACTAAGCAGTAACTAATTCAGACTATATATTCAAAAAAAGAACAGCTCAGATCATCTAGTGAAGTGGTGCTACTGTTAAAGGGGAGATGAGAGCCCGACAAGATGGAGAAGTGGGAAATTTACTAAACGTTTTAAAAGAAATTTTATTTATTCATCAATATTTACAATAAATGTTTATTAATTCAAACTACTATAGTAGGCATCCATTTATTACTTTCAAAAATTGACAATATACAAGTTAATAAAATCATATTAGTTTCTTCTAAAAAAATTATCTCACTCAAATTCATCTAACTAAAATACATTTAATAAATTTTATTTTTAAAATACAGGGTACTTCTACTCTACTCATTTTTGCACTTAACATTCTCTTGCTTTCAAAAATGTATGAAAAATTTCAATTTAGTCCCCACCAAATCTCAATTTAGAACTCGGATAAAGAGCAAATAAAGAGCTGTCTGAATTAAAACACTACTACAGGTCTCCTTCACTTTATGGCATAGATGAAGGAAGGAAATATTGGCTGAAAATTTTGTTTATGTTAACGATTTTGATGATTACCATCAGACAGCTGATATCTCAGGGAAGAAAAGCCTTTCATATACCACATAAAAACTTCTGCCGGGCACGGTGGCTCATGCCTGTAATCCCAGCACTTTGGGAGGCTGAGGCAGGTGGATCACCTGAGGTCAGGAGTTCAAGACCAGTCTGCTGACCAACATGGAGAAACCCCATCTCTACTAAAAATACAAAATCAGCCGGGTATGGTGGCGCATGCCTGTAATCCCAGCTACTCGGGAGGCAGGAGATTCGCTTGAACCCGGGAGGCGGAGGTTGCGGTGAGCCGAGATTGCGCCATCGCACTCCAGCCTAGGCAACAAGGGTGAAACTCCAGCTCAAAAAAAAAAAAAAACTTCTGGTGAAATGGGCTTACTAAGTTGGTGGCTTGCCTGTAACATCTGGGTGTCTTAGAGGGCCATGGTATGACACCTTGGGCAGTCATTTACAGAGTCCTTCTCTGACCAGGGAATCATCCTGCCACTGCTATGAGGTCCTGCACTCTAAGGATTTCTTCTGTATCTAAGACTCTTCCAGCGTCAAAATTTAGAGCCCCTGAAATGACACTAATCTGTAAGATGAACAGTTGTCACTACATATCCAACCCGAGTACACTGTTCTACAAAATCATACCTCAGTCACACACCTAGTACATAATGTGATCCAGCCTGAAGACCTTTAAGGTTGAGGTGTTAGGTTAAAAAAGCAATTGGTTGCCTATGCCAACAAGGTGAAGGTTACAATGCAGTCTATCGAGAGGTTATTTTAAACAAGGGATACCTGCATTCTGAATTAATTAAGCATCTCTCTTCCCAGGAGCTGCCAAGAATTGGAGCACTTGCAGAATTTAGTTCTTCACCAAAGTCAGTGCAGGCAAGCTCCTGAAAGGGAATAATGCTGCTCATTGACCCACATCTTCTTAAGACATTGCTTTGGCTTTTTAAATTAAAACGCCAAGAGGAAAAACTACTTACAAAGACAAGAGAAAGACCACTGTTCCCTGCAGGTTAACCAGAACGGCTAGGGTCCTCCAGGAGCGGATGAAGTATCCTAACAGGGCATATTGGGCAATGCCAACTGCAAAGAAGAGGCCGCCAATCGATCCTAATTCAGGGAAAAGAGAAGTGTCACTGGAGAAAGCACCATCTGTGGCACCATTTCCAACCCCAAGTCACAGAACCAATTTCTTCCTGGTGAGACGTCAGCCCTATGCTGGCAAGTGTAAGAGGCACACCAGAGAAGAAAAAAAGTCTACACTAAGTTGAACATCAGTGAATGAAAGTATCATAGGGGTCAGAAAATTAGTGGAAATAAAGGGAGGACAGAGGAAAAATACAAACTATATGGGGATATATACATTTTGAGAATTTGTCCAAAATGCTTTCTGCATTGCCTGTTGTACTGACATTTGCCTGAACCTGTAGGTAAGGCTTGGAAATACTTTTGCCATAGGGGTAATACGGTTTTTAGGTCATGAGGTTATTGCAATACCAAAACTTAATCTTTATCACACAGGCTGTCTTTTAACTTTCTTTTTTTTTTTTTTTTTTTTTTGAGACAGAATTTCGCTCTGTCGCCCAGACTGGAGTGTAGTGGCGAGATCTCCGCTCACTGCAACCTCCACCTCCTGGGCTCCCGGGTTCAAGCAATTCTCTGCCTCAACCTCCTGAGTAGCTGGGTTTATAGGCACCCACCACCACACCAAAATTTTTTTGTATTTTTATTAGAGATGGGGTTTCACCATCTTGGCCAAGCTAGCCTTTAACTCCTGACCTTGTGATCTACCTGCCTCAGCCTCCCAAAGTGCTGGGATTACAGGCGTGAGACACCTTGCCTGGCCGAAGTTTCTTAAATCACAACTCACTCTCCCAATTCTCCCTACTGCCTTCTCTACTTAATGTATTACTATAGGATACATGACATTTTGTATTTATTTGTTTCCTGTCTGTCTTTCCCAAGTAGAAAATAAGCTCCCTTAAGCATGGATTTTTGTCAGCGTGATGATGGAAAAATATCAACCATGGAATTGTAAAGAACCTTACACTTTTTGAAATAAATACTGAGATGGGTATTAAACCCACAGGTTTACCCAATATTCTTGCAAATTCTGTACCTCTAACCCACTTTCTATAACTGCCACTATTGCTATTAGTGGTAGTAATAGCTATTATTTATTAAGCATAATGGTTTTGTATACATTGTCCTATGAAGTAGGTACCATTATCAACCATATACTAAAGTGGAAAATAGCTCAGAGTGCTTAAGTGAAGTTGCTTAAGGACACAGAGCTATAAGCAGCAGGGCCAGGATTTGTGCCCAGGCCTGTCTGAGGGGGAGGCCTGTATTCTATACCATTCCTCTCTTCTATCTCCCCTCTATGGAAAGGCAATTTCTGTGGGCATTCTGCAGTGACAAAACTTTGTTGATCTTGTTACAAAAATAACAATCTTGTAATACATGTGTTTTCTTTGATTCCTATCCATAGTTTATTACTTTATAACAGTAAGTAATGGCTTGTATACTGTTTGACCTAGTGAGGAAAGGGAGAGCTAGAAAGGGAAGCTGATGTGACAGCATATTCAGAACATGTGGTCTAATGAGTCGTGGGATGAGGACAGTGCAAGTTTCCTGGAAATTTAAGACAGTCAATAGCTACTACAGGTTCACTGCTGTAGATCAAACAGCACCTGGCTTCCAAGAACAAGACTTCTTGTCTGTCGTTGCTCAGAATAGTCCTGAGCACTCAGTATCCCTTGACAACAATGTAGGCAAAAACAAGAAAGCCCAGAGGATGGGATGGTTTCAGAGGGACCAAGTTCAGAAGCCAGTTCTGCTACACACTACTCTGACCTTGGGCAAATCACTAAATGTCCCTGAGCCTCAGTTTTCTTATTGGTGAAATAGAAATAATAGTGCCTACCTCAAAGGGTAGTTTTTATTAGTTTCAGATGAAATAATGCATGTGATACAAACGTTGGTTAAATTGTCCTAATCTGGATTTAGCCCTTCTATTAACCTCAAAAAGAAAAAAAAAAAAAAAAAAAAAAAAGCCATCTAAAAGCCTCCTGTTGAATCTATCACAGAATATTTTCTACCTGGTTCTCCTTCCTAATTCCAAGAATGCCCCACCCGCTGTTGGAGAACTGACTTCTCTGACTTCATCTCTGTGGTTCAAATGGGGCCTGCCAATTATAGTTCCTTTAACTGTAGGGTAACTTCAATCAGCTGAGCTGATCAGAGGCCTTACCCAAGATTTTAAATACTAGACTTGGAGCTGCTGGGCCCTGTCTCTGACTACGCAGAGGAAGCTTCTCAGAGAGGATGGCGAGCTGAAATGAGAAGCATCTGACTTCTGGTTCTGGGCATCTTCAATGCCTGGCTCTTCACGGTCTAGTTATCTTAACCAAATGATTTCCCCTTATATATGAGCTCATTAGAGTTGAGTCTCTGTCACAATCAGTAAGATCTGGCATCAACTGGACATGATGGACAAGAAGAAATGATTCAAAGTTATCTAGTTCGGTGACCTTAAATTCTGTGATGACATAGGCAGAGGTCTCAGAAAATAATGTAGCTTTTAGGTGGAAAGAAAGTAATAATTTTTTATTTAAGGAGTCAATAATATTCACATCTAATGTCCAGCAAGAAGCTGTACATATATGCCTGTAAATGACAGCAGGGAGAAGGCGTAGAGATGAATATAATAAGGCTCTATGCTATTTGGTTTAAAAAAATTAATAAAAAATAAACATTTCAAGTCATCTCTTCTGGAGTATCATAGGTGGCTTTATAACCATGTATATGCCTTTACGTACTAGGCCTATTTTAAAATTTATTCCCTGCCTATTTTTAATTAATTTCAATTCTGCTATTCCTGCTCAGTTTGCACTAGTAAATGCTAAATTTCAGCAGGCTAGAAAAGAGTATATAGTTATGACTTCATTTTTGTAAATGGTACCAGTAATCCATCTGGTTTTCAAATAAAGACCATAAAGTCTCCTTGAGTTCTTTTGCTCTCCCCATCGCTGCTTGTCCTTTAGCAAGTCACTTTCCCACCAAAATCCAGCTCAAACACATCCTCTTTCTTCTCCACTGCTTCCATCTTGTCTCAGTCACCACTGGTTTCACGTGGCCAACTATAGCAGCCTACTAAATGATCCCTCAATTTCTGTACCTACCAGAGTAATCTTTCTGTATATGAGACCCTATCACTCCTGTATTTAATATGCCCCACTGGCTTCCCACTGTACTTCAAGTAAAAAAACAAATTCCTCATTTGGCCCATCACAGGCCCTGTATCATCTGGTCCTTCCCAACCTCTTACTTCACTCTTTCCCTAACTCTCTACCCTGTAGTCATGAGAACTTTTTCAAAGAAGTTCCTTCCTGCTTCAAGTCCTGGGTCTTTGCCATTCCATCTAGCTAGAATATTCTTCTCCCAGAATTTCACAGGCCTAGGTCTTCCTAATCATTCATATCTTAGATCAAATGCCCACACTGAGGTTTTCTCTAACTATCCTATTTAATGTAGCTACTCCCTGCAATTACTATCTAGCCCATTACCCTCCTTCATTTTCTTCATTGTACTTCTAACTTCCAGAAATTATCAATTTGTTCCACTTTTCCTAAGTAAAGCATAAGCTCCATGAGAGCAAGAACCTCCCCCAAACCATCCTTATCTTTTCCACCTTTTTATCTAAAAAAAAGCAGTGTTTGGCACATGGCAGAATCCATTTAATAAATGAATGCTGTGGAACAGACATGCAAAGGAAAAGCTCTGGAAGCATACACAGCAATATGTTAACCACGGTTGTCTCTAGGGGAATAGGAATATATGTATTCTTTAGTTTGATGAAGTGTGCATATATTTCTTATTTTTTACAATGAGCATTGTTATAGGAAGACATTAATATAAGAAAACAATAAATATATTAATATGGAATTTTTCACAGCTTCAGTATTTTTTTTTTCACTTCTTAACAATTTTTAGTCAATTAGCTGAAAATCCTTTTTGTTAAGTACTATACTGCAAACAGGTCAAAAATGGATGCTTGAAGTTTGTACTTGTGCTTTTTTGTATATGTTTACATATTGTTTTTTACACATTGCAAATATTATTTTGTAATAAGCATAATTTTTCAAACTAATTTTCATTGCCAAATAATCAGGCTATTTCCAGCAAATCCCCTATTGCTGAACATTTATGCTTTTCTCTGACTTCTTGCAATTCATAAGCATATTTGAAGCCACAGGTGTAGATAAAATCATTCTGGAAAGAAACTAGCTTGCAAAGAAAGACCAAGGACAAAACCCTGGGGAAGATCTCGGGTTCATGAGAGAGGGAAGGAAGCTACTCAAAAAGAGTTCCAGGAGCTATCAGAGCCTTACTTTTGCCCTGGGTGCAGGGCTGTGTACTGGTCTTCAGGGAACTCTCACACTTGCTCTGAATTTCACATTGAATTTGGCAACCATCTGGTTTCACTGTTACAGTTTTTCTTCCTCTCTCCCTTTCCACTTTGCTACAGAAATTTTGATAGTCTCATCTTAACCCAGCATCAAGGATAAGAATGAGAGGTCAAAACACTTCAAGGGGACTCTTTTCAGTGGCTTTAGGCAACTAGCAAGAGAGCAGGAGACCAGGGTTGGTCCCTTCGCCAAACACATGCAACAGGACAGGAAAAATACTTAGATAATCTGGCAGGATGGGAGTGTATACATCTTTTATAAAACAGCATCTTCATGAACAACTAAAATCAAATATAAATACTTTAATAGAGAAATGTAAGAGGTACAAGAAAAATATGTATTCATGGTGCTCTACATGAGCACAACTTTGGACCTCAGAAAAACAGAAATCAAAGGAGAGAGTGCCTTTATCCCTTCCCTGGATACAGGGAGCAGGCATGATCACCATCATTACCAACTTTTTAGAAAGTCCCAGGAAATTGGCCATACTATTTAGAAAAATGACCCTAAAGTCTCAATGCAAATTGAAGACTCAGAGGAAGCTCTTTCACTCATCCTAGGTTAGGACCAGTTCCAAAAAGGCTTTAGAAGTTGCTACAGACAAGGTGAATCCTAAGGCAACACTGTAAGACCAGAGGGAAGCCTGTCTGGAGAGGCATGTGAAGGAAGCTTGTGTCTCTTCCTCCCCAGCCTAGTTCTAACTGGTCCTACCCTATGGATCCTTCCGCTCGACAGCAGTTTAGTGGAGATGCAAACAGAGCACAAGTCTACTTTATTTAGCCTGTGTCTTCCAGTTCGATAAAATAGCCCATACAACTTCAAAAACAATACCAATTAGAAATAACAGGTTGACCAGGTCAGCACTCACATGAGGTGACATGCTGAAGTTCCAAGAGGAGAGTCTTTGGGAAACAGCAGAAGATGACCTGGGTGTCATCAAGACCCAGGTTGCTGTTCTGGCCCTGTCAGTTATCAGCTGCTGAAAACGGGCATGTCACCTCACCTCTCAAAGGCTCAATTTCCTTATCCATAAAACGAAGGTAGGAATCCTTAACTTGTAAACTCTGGGAATATTACAGATAGATGTCAAATGCCTAGCATGGTAGCTGGTACATAAGAGATGGCTGGCACTGTGCATCAGGTTCTAAGGAATGGCATTCTCATATAGATCCTCCTGCAGACACATTTCTATCAGTCACATGGTCAACCTGTTTCCCATATCCATAAAAGAACATCCAAGGGAAACATTCAATCACTGTCAAGTGAATGAAAGTAAAAGAAACAAAAAGTTATCATTGCAAACCTAAGTCTATAAAGTCTTAGACACAATATTTGAAGTCAAATAACCTTTTAATTAAAATCATTTATTTTATTATCTATGTAGTTCTTGAGAAAATAATGGGATGGTCAAAAATAATTCAGAATACAGTCTCAATTTTGGAAATTAAGTATCGATAAAGAAATGCTACAAAAGTACTATGTTGACTTGAGAGCAGTAAAAACAAAAAAGGGTGGTGAAACAAAGATTTAATAAACTAGAATAAGAAGGCTGTAAGAAAGGAGTTTCTAGTATTTCCTATGTCTGAACTATTTTTCAGTTTAAGTTGTAAAAAGCTGCTAGTGTCCTTCTGTGGAAATCAATACTCTCCACAGTAATCTGTATGCAGTCCATGAGGCGGGTGGCAAGCTCACATGTGAAGCGGGCCCCCAGGGAGAGTGTCTGCAGAGGAATATTAATAAAATGACTTGTTCAGAGTCATACAGAACAAACTCAGAAAAGCACATCTAATAGTTGGACAAAGTACCTCAAGTCCAAATGCATTTCCAGACTCTAGGATTAAACTGGGTCCCTATAAGATTTTCTGGAGCTGCTCACCCAGTCCAGAGCTGCATGATTTAAGTAGTACCTGCAAGTGCCCAGTAGGCGGTGCCCACACATTCATTAAGCAAGACAAAGGCCACCAGCGACATCCCTCCATTCATCATGCCCACCAGGAAGCGAGTTATTGCAAAGAACTCATATGAGGGGGAAAATCCATTTGCAATTGCAAATAAGATGTCAAGAGCAAAACCTAGAAAGAGAGAACAATATTCAATAATCCAGAGGCAAAATAGCATTTGATCAAAGTAATAAATTATATTCATTAGCTTATAAAATAAACGTTTGTAAACTTAAATTTTCTGAGCTGGTTTTTTTTTTTGTTTTTTTTTGAGATGGAGACTCGCTCTGTCGCCTAGGCTGGAGTGCAGTGGTGTGATCTTGGCTCACTGCAAGGTCCGCCTCATGGGTTCACACCATTCTCCTGCCTCAGCCTCCCGAGTAGCTGGGACTACAGGCACCCGCCACCATGCCTGGTTAATTTTTTTTTTTTTTGTATTTTTTAGTAGAGATGGGGTTTCACCGTGTTAGCCAGGATGGTCTCGATCTCCTGACCTCGTGATCTAACCGCCTCGGTCTCCCAAAGTACTGGGATTACAGGCATGAGCCACCATGCCTGGCCAGCTGTTTTTTTTGTTTTTGTTTTTGTTTTTGTTTTTTTTAATAGCTTCTCTTGGAAACTATTTTTTTAAAAAAACATAAGGTTTACTTTATTACATGATTTCTGTCAATCACAGACAGTTTTCAATTATTCACAATAATGCTGGAAAATGAAAAATCCTTGCTCATACTCAGCTTGTCAAGAGCACTAGGCCAAGTTCTGTAGGGCTCGTTTGAAATGAATCAACACAGAGAGATATAAGGAAATGGGCCTAGTACACTGTCACAGTCTCTTACTTCTCTCCTTAGCAACATGGCATAAACTAAAATTGGGGGTTTGCAGAAAGCACCATCACCTATGAAAGGTTTATAAGACAAATATCTGACTTTAACTAGGTGGGCTAGTAACTTAAAAGTGCCTGGCCAGAAGCAACTCGAGCTGCAGTTTGGCCTCTTGCCAGGGTAATAAAGATCAGTTCTGTGTCCATATCCCAATTCCTGGAGACCCTTAAGGAAATAGTCCCCTTATTATTTCCCTAAGAATCTTAGAGAAATAAACCCTCTCATCCAGTTTACAAATACTCTAATAGATTACCTGTGAGATAGACTTTTTTCCTTCCGAAGCGATCTGAAAGCTGACCAAAAGAGATAACTCCAACAAATACACCACTGAAGAAAAAAGAGCTTGCTGCACTGACTTTGTAGGATCTGTTGGCAATTAAAAACCACTAGAGGAAGATAAAACAAAAGAGAGACATGTAGGATTGAGTTAGCTATTAAAAAACCAAATGTGCAACAAAAACTTGTGCACCAGAATTTCTATACTGCACGATCCACTATTAACCAGAATTCAGCAGAATTTGTCTATCTCAGACAACATCCAATGAGATTTTATCTTCAGAAACGCTAGAAATCACTATTATTATGACGCACTCCCATAGTACTCTATACATACCTTATTACAGAATTGAACACAGTGTATAATAGCTAATTACTTATGCATCTATTGACTATGTCCCTCATCCCAAGGCTCTGTGTTTCTCGAGAGGAGCCTTGTCCCATTTATTTCCATTCTCTGATGCCGAATACACTATATGACATATATGAAGCAATAAATACATGAACTTTTTGTCCAATAGGCTTGTGAGTTTAAAATCCCTTGAGTATTTTTCCTCAAAAAGATTAAACACAGAATTACCACATGATCTGGCAATTCCATTTCCAGGCATATTCCCAAAAGAACTAAAAGCAGGGACATGAAGAGATATTTGTACACCCATGTTCATGGCAGCTGTATTTGCAATAGCTAAAGGTGGAAACCACCTGTGTCTATCGACGGAAGAATGAATAAACAAAATGTGGTATACATGTACAGTAGAATATTCCTCAGCTTTAAGAAGGAATGAGAGAACAGGCAGAGATTTGTTAAAGGATACAAAATTACAGCTAGATAGAAGGAATAGGTTCTAGTGTCCATATCATTGTAGGATGACTATAGCTAACAACAATATATAGCTTCAAATAGCTAGAAGGAGGATATCAAATGTTCCCAATACAAACAAATGATAAATATTTGAGATGACAGAAATGCTAATTACCCTGATTTGATCACTATACATTGTATGTATTAAAACATCACCATGTAGCTCATATAATTATGTCAATAAAATTAAAAAAATAAAAAGGAACAAAATTCTGATTCATGCTACAACCTAAACTCTGAAGACATTATGCTGTATAAAATAAGGCAGACACAGAAACACAAATATAGTATGATTCTATTTACATGAGGTACCTGGAATAGTCAACTTCATACAGACAGAAAACAGAATGGTGGTTACCAGGGGCCAGAAGGAGCGAGGAACAGGGAATTATTGTGTAATGGAACAGAGTTTCAGTTTGGAATGTTGAAAACATCCTGCAGATGAATAGTGGTAATGGTTACACAACTATGTGAATGTATGTAAGGCATCTGAAACTATACACTTAAATGTGATTAAAATGGTAAATTTTATATCACGTATATTTATGACAAAAGAAACTCCTTTAGTGTCTTCTACTTTAGGGAAACCTAGGAACTTAAAGAGAAAGTGACCATTCTCTGCTTAAAACACCACTATCTCAAGTCTTGCCTAGTGATGTGTTAAAGATGATATTTGGTTATAACAATAAAAGTGAACCCATGTCACAGAATAACCTCAGAGAACCAAGAGACCACTCATCCTTCCTCTTCCCAGTCCCCTTCGCTACAGTCAGTGATGATAGGTGTGTGAAGGGCCCCTCCTCCTCAAGAACTTGCAAGAAAGAATCCTCAGTTGCTCTCTCCACTTTTCAGATCACTCCCTTCTGATGCTTCCACAACCAGTCCTCATGGCTCAAAGTACATCTAACTTCTCTCCTTCCCTCCTAGTCTTGTAACACTGGATTGATAAAGGTCTTGACAAGACAACTTCTGGACATCTCTATTCAAAACTACCCACCAAAAAGACTCAGGAATTGGGAAAAACCGGTGAGAATAATGTCCCCTCACTAATGTGTGCTTTACTTCTGAATTCCATTCTTCACATGCAATTCTTAACAAGGTAGATTAGCTGGCTTTCCTAGCCCTTCTTGGATTTACTTTTTCTTTCTTTTTTTTCTTTTCTTTTCTTTTTTGGTAGGGTTTCGCTCTGTTGCGCAGGCTGGAGTGCTGTGGTGCCATCACAGCTCATTGCAGCCTTGACCCCCCAGCCTCAAGCAATCTTCTTGCCTCAGCCTCCCAAGTAGCTGGGACTGGAGGGAGTCACTTTAAATAGGTGGTTCAGGGGAGGATTCTTGCGGGAGGTAACATTTGCGACCTGGATGATGACAAGTAACCAACTACAAAAAAACTCTTTGGGGAATACGATAATAATTGCAGTGGCCCCAGGTGAAAACACACCAGTGTATCTCTAGTGGAGGTGGCATGAAATTAGGCCAGCAAAGCAGATGGGCATCAGGTCATGCAGGGTCAGGCCAAGGCAAGGAGCTGAGAGATTTTATTCTCGTGCAAATAACGAATATTGAATTACTGGGTTTATGTTTCTAAAGATCACTCTGGCCACTTTATGAGAATGCAATATGATAGGAAAGAGTGGAAGCAGGGGAGTTACAGTAATCGTTTAGGAGATAATGATGGCTTGGATGAAGGTGGAAACTAGTGATGGAGAGAACTGAATGGACTTGGGATGTATTTTGAAGGCAGGACTGTCAGATGTTGTGATGATGTGTTGTAGTAGGAGTAGAAAGGAAAGGAAGAATCGCCTAAGTTGTTCATTTTAGCCACTCTCTGGGTGGTTGTGACATTTATCGAGATAGAGAAGGGTGCAAGAGGTGTTAGGTACATGGTAGGAATTCAAGAGTTCTGTGTGAACAAGCTCAGACAGAACATGCCTATAAAACATCTAAGTAGAGATGTCAAGCAGGCATCTGGCTGGGAGTGCAGCTCATGGGAAAGGTTATGAAGGTTTATGAAATTACAGATACAGGCTGGGTGCAGATGCTACGCCTGTATCCCAGCACTTTGGGAAGCTGAGGCCGGTGGACTGCTTGAGCCCAGGGGTTCAAGAGCAGCCCGGGCAACATGGCGAAACAAGGTCTATACAAAACACACAAAAATTAGCTGGGTGTGGTGGTGCACACCTGTAGTCCCAGCTACTCTGGAGGCTGAGGTGGGAGAACTGATTGAGCCTGGGAGGTTGAGGCTACAGTGAGCCATTATCGTGGCACTGCACTCCAGCCTGGACAACAGAGTGAGACCCTGTCAAAAGAGATGAGAGAAGAGGGGAGGGGAGGGGAGGGGAGGGGAGGGGAGGGATGGAAGAGAAGAGAAGAGAAGAAAAGGAAAGAAGCAAAGAGAGAAGAATAGAGAGAAAGAAGGAGAGAAAGAAAAAAAAGGAAAAGAAAAAGAAAAGAGAAAGAAAGTTTCAAATAAAAGACTAAAAGAGCTGCAGTATTTGAAGAAAAAACTTTGTTTTGTAAAAAAAAGAATTTATTTTGTAACATGGATAGTTCTGTGGTAGAATTTTCGACTCATGAGGAATGCCTACAGTAACATTTCACCAGGTCTAAAAACAGATCAGTATGAGATATCAGGTTGTCCTAGAAAAGACAGGACTGTATCTGTCACAGGGAGATTCCTTCTTTTACAATGGCCAATATACACAGCTTAATTGTACTTGTTCTTAATACCTTGAAATTCAAACACTGGCTTTTTTTTTTTTTAATGTTCTTAGTGTTTGTTTTGGTGTTTTCATGCTTTTAAAATCTGGCCTGCAACTTTAGTCTTCATTAACCTGCACCTCAAGTTTTGCTAGTCTGTTTACATGTTACAAGATCAATATCTTGGCCTATTTTATTGATTAAACACAAAAGTGATCTGTTTTGTGTTTAATCACTAAAAAATGGCCAATTTGAAAACTCCACAATCAACTATTCTGTTGCCTCATTTGCTGAACTTCTCAAATCCATGGAAAAGGGTACAATACTATCCTTACAAGTGGATAGCTGTCAACTTTTGTGGAAGTTTAGGAAGAAGTAGCCCAAGGGATGTTTGAGCAGCAAATTCCAAATTCTGATTCTCAGGCTGCCATTTCCAAGTGTCAAAGTAATTGCTAGTAATTTTTCTTCATGTCAATGCTAGTTGGGCTCATGCATCTCTCTATTACTGTTGGAATACATGCAGGAACTGACAGAAAAATGGAAAGACAGATTTTTCAAAAGCAAATTAGAGAATGTGAAGCTGGAACCCAGATCTCCCTGACAGATCCTGGTGAACTGGGGATGGCTGACACAGGGATGCCAACTCACAGATTCAGAACAATGGGTTGACAACCAGCCCTCCACATCCTTCATCTCCCAACATGTGAGATCTTGGTTTAAATGTTTTGTTTTGCCCAATTTTAAAAACTTTTCAAGTATTGTTGATATATTGATCACATACCTACTGTGTGATCTAAGGAGTTTTATTTTCTCAAAGCCCAGACAACATAAACTAGGATATTGATTCCTACAGTATTTAGAAAATGTATTGGCGTAATCTATACTTAAAGTTTTCGCTCACCAGACTAGACTCAATTGCTAGCTCATTTTCTTCCCCCTTTGGTCAATACTTAGTACTACGGTAAAACCCAAACCAGGATATTACCAGGCCATTTTAAGCTAAACTGTAATAAACCTAAATATGATACATGTGGATCTCAAGAAATGTGTTTTTATGAGTCTTTAGATTTTAAAAATCACTAATTTATAAGTCATTCAAACCCTGTTGACTAGAGATTATTAAGGTGATGAATTTCCTATTATTTTTTGTTAATAACAAGCCACATTCTAAAGCCAAAGAAAGAATGTTTTTTTTTACGTTAAGGTACTTCAAATTGAAAAATCATTTGCAAATTGAAAAAAGTAGGAAATCTACTTTTCTTTTCCCATACATTAACAGAAAAGAAGACTATAAAGACAAAATACTTTCAGTCTCTCAGGTTGACTTACATCTACTTCTGTTTTAAAACCAGCATCTATATTTTTGTTCTTATGCACTAAATTGAGTTGAGCATTCAATATACTCTATTTTCAAAAAGGATTTGAGGGGCACAGCACTACAAGCACTCGTATAATCATTCACTCATCTAAAAAAAGCGGACCTGAGAGAAAATCAGGCACAACTGGGGGTAGAACCAAGAGTAGGTGCCTCTAATATAAAAGACGAAAG